AATCAAGTTCAGAAAAAAACGCAAACGTAGCAAAACATTTGGCAAAAGCCCTTACGCCAGGAATGTGGCCTCCCCATCTTTGACCACCATACTCGTTAAAAATAAAGATATAAGGGAGAAGATCAAGAGAAGACGGAAGATAAATGTTTTAAACGACAATAAGCAGTTTCTTAATAGAAAATCAGCTAAATGCTTACCCGTAGACTTTCTTTTTCTGCAGAAGAGCGCTTCAAAGGCGTGATAAATCATTTCGAATATGGTAAGAGGTGGAGGCAGAATATAACGACACTCATATATCTCAGCTTCTAGGAGCAGATTATACTTCCATACTCCCAACGCCTCGGCCTCAACCTCCTCAATAACGTTGCTAAAAATAAACGCATGTTGTGAAACCTACACTATACAGTGCCAAGTAAAGTCGGAATATTTTTTGAGTGCGTATTTAAAGGTACTTACTTGAAGATTGCAATGAGAAAATTCACCAGGAAGATGTTTGCCATGAGCATGTAACATGCAAGGATTACTGGCACAAACGCATTAAAGACGGGACACCTAACAGTTGTGTCGTTGGTAGGACAGCCTTCTTGTTCACCTGAAATTAGGAAGAAAATATTGACTAGCACCAGGCAGTATACACAATGTATGTGTTCACGATAACACAAAATGAAGACTACTGTAATATAAGAACAAAATTAAACGAGTATTAGACATTAATGTTTACGGTAAAAAAGAACTTTAAGCACAAAGTAGCGTTGGCCATTCTGAACTACTATATAGATAACGCATGAAACAATTACAGTCAAATATAAATGCAATTATGGAGGTGGTAATGCATAAGCAGTGTGTGAAACTTACTTTAAACTCCTGATTATATCCAAGAGGACGCAACTTCTTTAAACCTTCTGTCGTGTTCTAAGGTGCTAAACTAAGTGACTTTTAACATTCTGGCAAGTTTTTCTTCGCTGTTCCTTTTGTTAAACCTATTGGACATAACGCTGTAGTTCAACCCCGCATAGCATATGCGGTTGATGACCAGTTTGCTAGATGCTGATCATTGATTCT